AATGAACTTTGCCCATGCGGACGAGATCATTCAGCGCACACATGATTTCCTCTGGCTCGGTATCATCCAGTCGATGTAGCTGTAACACATCAATATACGTCGTGTTCAGTCGCGCAAGGGACCCTTCCACCGCATCGAAGATATGTTTTCGACTCAGCCCCATCTGATTCACCAGCTCACCGTCGTTTATGGCGGGATTGGGTCGTGACGGAGAATCCGGGTCAAAGACTGGATAGTATAGCTTGGTCATGATCACGACCCTGATTCGTGAGATGTTGTATTTCGCCAAGGCTTTAGCAATTAGAATCTCTGATGTCCCGTTTGAGTAAGAGTTTGCTGTGTCCCAAGTGTTGATTCCACTGTCGTAGGCTTTCTTGAGTAATGGGAGGGCTTCGTCTTCCGGAAGTACCCAGGGACTGCCTTCCCAGGCGGGATTGCCAAAAGTCATGCATCCGAGGATGATTTTGGAGGTTTTGAGGCCGCTTTTGCCGAGGCGTTGGTATTCCATTTTGTAGTTATGCGAATGTCACCGCTGTGGATACTGTAGTTATGATCTTTGTGCAATGGCGGTAGCTGTGGCTTTTTTCCATGATGTTTAAATTATTTTGGCCTTGATCGTCATCATTGCCAGGGAGGGACCGGGGAAGATTCGTTGAGAGGTCGGAAAGATTCCCGGCGGGCGGGGGATTCCGTACTACTTTCGGGGTTTTCTCCGCAATGGACATTTTTGCTGGGAAGGTTCTACTATCTTAGTCAGGTCTGTTATTTCAACCATCGATATTAACTAATTGATTAGTTTAGAAGGCTGATTCCACAGTACCTTCTGTGGCAAAGATTAACACATGGTTGATAAACTCTATTCACAAATGCTCCTCGTGTTCTTCGAACGATGGGCTTCCCAAAGCCCTCACACATCGGCTTATCATGTGAAATCGGGGCAAGTCCAGTGACAGAACAATGGGTTATTCCATGATTCATTTTCTCTTCAAACTGGTTATTTATTGAGATGGGAGGCCCGGCGAAGAGATTTAAATCGGCCACGATGGACTCTTTTTCAGACTTGTGCCAGCATATTCAGTTGTTGTACTAGTCTATTCACAGCGACTGATACTTCCCACCCCGAGCCCAGCTTTGGGTAACACTAATGCGTTGTTCCACAATGTGCTTATTCTCTGACGGTGAGCATTCAATTATGACTCCTGAACCTCCCAGTCCCTCATCCTTCGAGTAATGCTCTGATTATTTCTTCACTTCATTAACCCCTCTTGAACCCATTGTCCAAGCTAACATATCTTTCCATCAGCCAAAGACTGTTCTGACAGAATCCATCACGACAAAATGGAACAAGTGCGCACCAGAGTGATAGAAAAAATCAGTGACACCTTCAACGCAGTTGCAAAGCATCAAGCCGCGTGGATTGAGCCTGATATTCAGAAAGATCTCGGTGTTATATGTGAGGATCTGCACATCACAACAGCTGGAACTCATCAGGATAAGCTCTCGCCAGTCTTCTTTAATCCTCTCGGAGCGCACAATGTCCCCTCCCCTCATCCTACCCATGATCGGGGGCAAAAGTTTGTCAAGGAGATCTTCGACAATTGGGACAAACCCAGCCCGCAGCCACCAACGGTGACCGATCAAGTTTATAAGTTAGTGGACGGGATACGAGACATTTTCCGAACCAGCCGTCGCGATGTTATGTCAGAGACTGGAAGGTCGTTGCAGCTGCGGACTTACGCAAACCGGATCGAATGGTGAGCACCTCCTCCCCTGGAAAACTTATGAATGTGTACAACTAGGAGGATTGATCCGGAGCTGACAAACTTATTGGAAGTGGGAATATCACACCGGACCTCATTGCTGAAGAATTCGATGGCCTGTTTTGGGTGTCGCGTGACTCGATGATGGAGTACGCTTATATAGCTATGGATCAATTCAACAAGCCCCACATCCTGCTTGCAACTTTTATGAAGTCTGAAGCAAATGATACGCTTTCCAAATACGAGACTATGGTCATGTTGACGGTCATGTTGACCCGGTTACAAAGTGATAATTGTCCCGACCACAGCATCATTCCTGTAAGTGAGATCTTCGTGTCAGCTTCAGACGTTGTTCTTTGGAAAGCTCATCTGACTGACTCGAATCTAGATCATGATTATCAGCGTCTTTCCTGGTCTTAAGCTCAGAACCTTAGAGGCCCACTATGATTATAGAGGTCTCGTCGTTCGAAAATCTGATTTCCTTAGCTTCGCGAACAAAGATTCGGCGATCTCGAGCATGGATATTGTGATGAGTTTTATGTGTTCCGAAATGACCGGGAACACGACTGACATGAATATCATGATGGATGTGAGTTCCCATATACTATGGAAGTGGTTTATCTTAAGTGACAGACTAACAGTCATTCACAGCCAGTAGCTGAAGTCCCTCCAGCCCTGTCCGATAACTCGAGTCAGGAGTCTAGAAGCCGAGAGATGGAATCGTGGAGTAGGGGATCTTTGTGGCGAAATGTCAGTCATTCTATCAAGACTTACATTTCGAAGATCAAAAATGCTCTTAACACCTGATAGAACAGAGCGCTTGTGTGCGGAGGATGTCTGGCTAGGTAGCACCTATTGCGTCTGGCTCGTCGCCAACTTCCTGGGTTTATCTTAGCGCACATAACTGGGCACATGATGCCCATGAGATGAGAAATTGTATGTAGAAAGAACTGAATGAGAAGAATTTAGGTAATCGCACGGGCTTCTAATACCAAATAGTTTTGTGACTATTGTGTTGACTCTTCTACAAGGTCACCCTACCGTCCATAGGCAAGAGATAATATGACTGGGTCCCCTTTGTTTGCGAGATTAAGGTATCGGCCTGGTAGCAGTGATTGTTTGCCCAAGTCAAGAAACAGTCAATCTTCTCTACATGCGATATAAAGGCACTTTATATTAAAACCTGTAATTTCTTGCAGAAGGGAACTAGTTCTCACGCCTCTCCATATCTTGTAAATTCAAATAACCCTCACTGTCAGCCTAGCACAGCTTCTAACGTTATGCTTTCCTATAGATTTTTCATCGTAATTCTCTTACTGTCTAGTCTTATGTGTCTGGCGTGTCTGTACGACATAGATGAAGTAACTGCAAACAGACAGGATTCGGTTGGTGGGGGTTCTAGATAGCACAAAACTGTCACACTTGGACGAGTTTTCTTGCTCCTAATACTTTCGCAATATTAGCTCCTTGTGAGGTGTCTTCTCGTGCAGTCGCTTGTTCACATCTGGTGCGCTCGTTTATCTCCGAGTATGACTATGAAGTCTTCCCTGCTCAAGAAGAGGAAGCTTTCAATGCAAGCTAATCCTCCCGAACAAGAGAAAGAGAACTCTGAAAAATCCTCCGCAAAGAAACTCGGAAAGGTCGAACGCTTCCAATTACCCAGTAGTCCAGAGGAATGGCAGGACCTTGTGGAGAACGCGAAATTGGAAGCGTTAACCATCAAGACCTTGCCGACTGAGATGTTCGGCTCAGCTTCACAAGCGTCTGATAAACAATATCTGATGCTACGCTGCTATTCGCCTGAAATCGTACACCCCACTGAATTCAGCAATCACATGAGCAAGTTCGGATTCAGTAAGAACATGTTGAGGGATGCAACAAGCCTACTTGATCAATCCCGAGACTGGGCTGGATACATTCGGACTCTTCAAGAACACATCTCTATCCGGGAATTGAGGGAATCACATGCTGACCATTGGCCGGGATCATTCATGGCTGCTAAGCGGCTGCAAGAGCAGACAGCCACGGTACAGGGAACGCACGATCTATACAGTCACGCCAACAATCAGAAGTCCGCAAAGTGCCGAGATGCGGAGGATGAAGCAACGCCAAATGCGGCACTTATTGTTCTGCTTCAGGAAATCACGCACATAGTAGAACGAAGAGACTTTGAGTGGGTGCTAAACAGAGCTGGATTTCTTGCCGATTTTGGCGATGGGCGACGATATCGCGCCTTTACAGATGGAGTGCTGCGTTCTACGAGTGATTTTAAAGTCTTCTCCATCACTGAAGTCAAAAGGGCTTTTCGGTCGCACCCTGTCATTATTCAAGAAGCTTGCGAAATAGCAGCCTTGATGATGACGTCTCCGGAATCAGCGGTTTTTGAAGACCAGTAAGTTAAGTTCCAGGTGCAAGCTCTCTAAACAAGTAACTAACTCTTGACTCTCATGCAGCTTTTTGCTTGTATCTCAAGACCGGCACCAAATTTTCTTGACCTTTGTTAAATATGAAAAGGAACTTGAGAATTATTACAGGAATAATGAAGCCTGTGATAAGTTTCTCATTCTGGAAACATTTGGCCCATATGATGCTGAAGATCCCGGCTGCGTTGTCGAACTTGCAAAAGTCATCATTGCTGCAATCTGGATTGTAAAAGGAAGCCTTTCGAGTGGGGCGGTCTTACAGAATCAGACATGATCTGTGACCCTTGAGTACATGCGACGCCCTCGTAGGTGCCCACAAGGCATCTACAAGAGGTCGGCTACGAGCGTTCTGATTGGTCAGTTGGGGTTGGGGATCGCTTCATGTTTAAATTACGGTATTTGAGCGATACCGTAGGATTACGGGGAATTGGAATAGAGTGGGAATAGGGTCCTGTATAGCTAGATTTCGCAGCTTGGGGGCTTGTTCCGGCCGCAGGCGCTCTTGCATACATACATACATACATACATCAAAGTTCTGGCCATATTATTCCAAGCTGAAGTTAGCTATCCCAGAGTGGAGCGCTAGTTTGCAAAAAACAGGTCCTGGGCCTATCAGGCTAGATTGTATTTACCAAACTGCATTGAATGAAATTGCGCACGCGACGGTTAGTGAATGACTTCTGTAGTCTGCTACTTCCCACCTTTTGGAAACATAGAATGGAGGCAAAACTCCTTTGCCATGTCTATCATCACTTCGATGAGGTTTGTCTTGGCCAAGTACTCTCGTTGATAACTGCACCACTGCCACCTCTCCATAATGTTTGCTACGATCTTGAAAGGCCTCGCTGTAATCATACTCTTCCTATTTCTACAACACAGTTCTATCCACTTCTTTCGACAGAAAACAACCATGTATAATACACCTAAACTGTGTCGCTTGATAATCGCTGCAGATGGCCGATTCACCAACAAAACAAATCTGTTGTCACCCTACGAGTCTCGCGCGCTCTCCAATTCCAGATTTAAAACGGCGTTTTGCATCCGAAATGCGTTCACGAGCTCCGACGAAGACTTTGTGACCCAGCACATGAAGGACATCAAGATGCTTCTAAATCTCACTCCTCTGGATTGGAACCATCTGTCCCACTCTCTCCAAGAATCAGCACGCTACTGGGTCAACTCATCACAGGGTACAATCCACTTGGCCAGTATTACTCAGACACTTACTCTGAGATTGGTGCTGGTAGGGATATTCAAACTAGAACCTAGGATTCCACCTTCTGGGGACCTCTTCTTCGCCGACTTTGCACGGTGCATCAATGAATCCTGGATCTTAGCTAAAGGGCCCGATATTCTTTCATTTGAACACAATGAAGAGCTACGGGACTGTGTCACTGCTTTCTTTCCTTCGTCTGATCAGTTTCAGCGCGACGAAAATCCGCTAAATGTGATCCTTCCGGGCTATGAGACCACCTGGAGGGTGGCGCTACGCATGTTCCTCGAGATTAGGCGTGCTCAAAACGAGATTTGGGTGGATAAGATGGTGAGCTTTGCACTGCACCCTACGAGGGTGCAGTTCCAGGACGTCGAAGACGGCATTTCAGTCGAAGCAATGGTCTCTGAGGCTCTTCGTCTGTACCCACCTACCCGACGCGTCCGCCGAACATTCCGCTTCGATGATGACAAGAATGGTGCAGTTGATGAGACCTTTGCAGCAGATATTGAAGCCTGTCATCTGGACAAGATTATCTGGGGAACAGACGCTTTGGAATATAAACCTTCGCGATTTGCTACCTTGACCGAGGAACAGAAGGAAGCTTACATGCCCTTTGGCATCCCCCCTTTTTTATGTCCTGCAAAGCCTGTCTTCGGGCCCAGGATGGTAGGGATGGTTGTTGGGATTCTATTCCTCGCATTGCAGGAGGGAGGGAGATGGAGGCTTGTTGGTAGGGATAAGCACTCTGCTAATGATTATGTGTCAGGTGGGCGATTGAACAATGACCGCAGTGCATTTGATGATTTGTTTTTGTATCTCAACGAGGAGATGGATGGCTGACTGGTGTTGAAATTTTTGCCTCTTTTGTCCTTATTATGTGCATATTTATTTCTGCTAGGGCGTTTTTACTCATCTTGCGGAGATGAAATATTTTTTTTTTTTCGATGGAGTTGAAGTTGGGATTCTTTTGTCTACGTTATGTTATTTTCCCGCTCTTCCTTTCTTTGTTTCGGGCTATTGCTTTAGATGGTGTCTACCGGTTGAATCCTAGCCCGATAACCATCTTGGTACAAATGCGATGTCCTTTCTCGAAACAGTTTCCAATAAATATTCCAACATTTTGGTCAAAGTGATTTCCCGGGGAGCAACCGGTCTGTCCATTCCCCTAGGTTAAAGTGCGAGCCAGTGAATGCGGGAAAAAACCGACCCAGTTCTCAACCATTAAACCAGGCACCGATCCCATCCCTTCATTCCTATCTCATACATTCATAATCCACCACAAAGCTAGTCCACTCTCAATGGTACTGTATATAACGGCCTCCATCAGAGCACCGCCTCCACAACCTGCCCACCGCCACTATTCGTAGTGATATATAGCTTCTTCCTCATCCCCTCCTTTTCAACAACATGCACCGAGGTGGGCCCATGAATCACCTTTGTGAACAACACCTCGACATCACCATCAGGACTAATTGTGCCGATCGCACTCCCATTCGGACCTCCCATAGCCACATAGACTGTTCCCTCCTCATCGAAATCAAAGTCATCCCACTGATATTCCTCCAACCCGGAGTTCAACGTGGCAAGAACCTCGACTTCAACATTGCCATCTTTCCCAGGCACCGCAATACCATGATCGTTAATTTTTACTCTTCCAAAAGTCTTCAGCGCAGTATTAGTATAGTACGCATACTCCCCGTGCGTCTTTAGTCCATTGATCCCGATCTCTGATGACCCATTCGCCGGAGCCGACAATGCATCGCTCTGGACAACGATGTCTGAGGTTCCGGTCAGCGTGTCAATGCGGAATATACACCCCACACGGGAATCCGCTGCTAAGACAGTGGTGGGACGGCGTAGGAGGGAGGCGAGACCATTTAGCATGATTGCCTGTGGAAGATGCGCAACTGCTTTGGTGACTGGGGAAGCAGTGATGTTGGCTGCGTAGGCCCCAAAGTCGATGGTGTAGATGGTTTCATTGTAGTAGTGATAGGAGCCACGGACGCCACCGGTGATGGCGTACTTGCCGTGGCCGATGGGGGCTATGCCGGTGATGGCGGTGGCGTTGGGGTAGAAGGAGGTCAAGAGGTTAGCGGTGGGGTAAGGGTCATTGAGGTCGAGGGCGTAGAGACGGGCGTCGGTGAAGGTGGTAATGAGCATAGTGTTGGTGACAGGGTCGATGGCGCCATTTTCAATGTCGGTGGAGGTGCTGAAGTTGAAGAGTTGGGTGACGGATATGGCTGATGTTGGTTGGGAGAGGGTAGGTGAGAGGGTTAGGAACGTGAGAAACAGCGTGGAAAGATGCATTGTGAGGGGTCTGTGATTTGGAAATGAAGACTTGGGGGGAGGGGGTGCCTTTGGTTGCGAGAGGGGCACTATATATGCCGGAGCAGTGTTGATGATCGTCATTTCGTGCTGTCTTCTTATTGATGGACCTTGTTTGCTATTTGCTTTGAATGTGGTCCTCGGGCAAAATAGCTAATTTCGGTTAGTTTGAAGGCGGGATGTTAGCAGGTACGCGGTGGATCTTATCTGATCGGACGGAGTCTGGGGAAGTTGACTGGCTCGGTTTTGTCATTGATTGTCAACGGTTGATTAAGGATCGACGTTGATTATTCCCCGGTTCGCAGAGCGACATAAGTCTCATTGGTTGTGAGGACAGTTGCTTCCTGAAAAAACAACGATCTGTTGTTATTCATCCATAATATGAATTTAGTGCAACAAATAATAAAAATCCGATTGGAATGACTAACCAAACAGCAGTTACAAAAAGGTTGATAGCATCGAATACTGATATGAATCATCTCGCACCCTCATTCTTATACCTCTTTGGGCCTCTACGTGATGTGTTAGTTGTTACTAATGTAACAGATGCTGTACGTTTATATATTGTAGCTTAAGGTCACCATCGAGCAATAAGGGGCATTCTACTGCAAGTACAGAACGTTCTTTTATCCGCGGTAGCGAGAACATAACAAGAGTCATCATTTTCTTTGTAGGTGAGACAACATTTCACAGTCTCCATGACTTACCACAGGGCCCAAGGTGCCCACTTTAGGCCGGAATATCCGGCATAGGCCCCTTGTGATCCGGAAAATCGGTGCTACGAGCAACTTCCTCCCATTCCTCTGCAATGCGCATCATATCCCGCGCCTTCTCCTTAAGGAACCCAAGAGAATCACTGCCAAATGGCACACGCAAGGGGATTTCTTTGCCTTCCGCAATACCCTCTCCCTTTGCAATCTGGATGACCTTGGCAATCAAATCCACCGCATTGCCTGGTGGGTTGCGGTAGTTGCCCTCTCCGCGCACGCGACACGCGTCGTTAAGGCCCCGGTAGAAATCGACTCGGTAAGGAACATGGTTGATATTTCTCATGACTTCAGTGCTGAAAATGCCTGCTTCAATAATGAGAGGCTTGATACCCGGTGCCAGCCAGCCTAGCTCTTTCGAGAGACTTTCAACGGCTCCTGTGGCGGTTAAGAGTCACACTATCAGCTTCGTCGTGAACGTTCAGATGGTATACCGGGGGCATTTACCTTCCAGTGCAAATTTACTGGCGCAATACGCGGACGCAGCAGGCTCTCCCCAGAAGCCAGACTGCGATCCCATGTAGATGATCATACCTTGACCCTTTTCGCCCTTGCTGCGGAAATGCGGCAATGCGGCGCGGGTCAGGTTGATAGGACCATGGAAATTTGTGTCGAGGGATCGTTTCATATCCTCCGGTCTAAAGCCTCAGTCAGTCAAACGTGGCCTTCCTAATTGGCTTCGTCAAACAAAGGACTTGAAGTCCTCAGGCCAACACTCACGTGAGCTCCTCGATGGCCCCGCATTGGATGTACCCCGCGTTGTTCACAAGTACATCTACTCCCCCATAAATGTCAATGGCCTGTTGGAACTTCGCGTTCAACTCTTCTTGAGGTGCCGTGACATCGAGTTCAAGAATAGTGGCACCGGTATCTTTCAAGTGCGCAAGCTTGGTTTCAGCATTCCGGCCTGTCGCGATGACGTTGTCACCCCGTGCGCGGAGCTGGCGTACAAACTGCTCCCCGAAGCCACTGGAGCAGCCAGTGATGAACCAGGTTTGTTGTTCTTTTGTCATCTTCGCAAGTAACTGACGCTGATTATACAGGTCTGAAGTCTTTGTTACCTTTGTGTGTCAATGAAATTAGAAGTAGGGGTTGCTCGAATGGCTTTCAAGACAATCTGGGAGGCGCCAGCACCTGCCAGGGGGCTTGCCGTCTTTAAGTCTAGTGAATCCGAGTAAGGCTGGTGAATGAGGGGCTTATTGAGTTTTAGTCTGTCAGACACGCAGGCACATTCCGACAGGACCCGCTTACAGTGCCACACTATAGCAGTAGCAGTGTTACCTTGCATGGTAGGCAGCAAGCAGCCCCCGGTCACTTTTACTATTGGAGCTACTGCAAGGATTAGTGCTGACAGCCCAACTATTCAGGAAGGTTTAGGGATGATCATGCAAAATTGAGTTTCGTAAAAATTCGATGTAATCTAACGACAATATACTAAATGGCGGATGACAAGTGTTCTTAGTTCCCTTGCCCCTTCTGCACATATTGACTCTTGCTAGCCGCTTGCTGACCCAACTCCCTGATACTACAGTCCGCCAGGATATTGAAGACCGAGAGTTCTGCCTTCATTTCATTGGCGAACCAGAACCGCAGCTCGACGGCCACCAGAGAATCCACGCCGAAGGAATGAGCAGGCCTATTGATATCAACATCCTCCTCCGGTACCGAGAGAGCTTGAGAGAGTCTCTGCGCGAGAGCTGTGGCGATAATGGCTCCTGCTTCTTCTACATTGCCAGCAGCCCCGAGAAGGGCTCCATAGTCTACGGTCTGAGCAGAGGTAGGGGCGGACGCAGTTGTGCTTTGGTCCATCCGGTGCAGATGTCGGTACAGGGTCCGCTTCATGTAAGGCAGCAGTTCTTTGCCTTGCTGAATCATTGCCATGGGCCGGTTGAGGGCCGTGAGGACCTGAGTCTCCCATCCCGATGACACATTCAGGCGAGGATTACAAGCCCAGTTCACAACACTGTGAAGCTCTTTCTCCGACAGGGCATCGAAACCGGCGTTGACCCACCGCTCGGATACGTCCTTCTGTTCTGCCACGTACCCGACGGACGTGAGTAGACCGACATCAATAGATATGCATTTCCGGCCGTGTGCCCATCTATGGCGAGCAAATGCATCCTGGAACGTCGCGGCGGCATTATACTGAGATTGGCCTCTCGACCCAATCATACCTCCCAGGGAAGACAGGATGACAAAAAAGTCCATGTCAGCTGGAAGATAGTGGTGGAGGTTCCAAGTTCCAGCGACCTTGGGGTCGAGCACTGCCTGCCATTCTGCCAGCGACATGTTGTCAAACAAGCGGTCCTGCAAAGTGTCAGCTGGTTGCTCAAGCAATACCAAAAAAAGCTCAGTTAGCATACCTTAAGTACCATAGAGGCCTGAATCACTCCCTTGACTGGAGGCATTGTCTGTTTGCAATCACTGATTGCGCTCGCCAGAGACTCGGCGTTGCTAACATCACACTGGGGAGTAGCCACATTGACGCCTCGTTCTGTAAGCTCTTTGACTAGCTCGATGGCATCATCAGAAACCGCGCCCGAGCGAGACAGTAAGATTAAATTCTTGACTCCTCGAGTGGTAAGCCACCTTGATAGACTCCGGCCGATACCGCCCAGACCACCAGCAATCATATAACTGGCCGCGGAGTCGAAGACATATTCCGGGTCGTTACTAGGCACCACTGAGACCTCCGCCTCTTCCTCCCAGTTGATCACTGCCTTGCCCATATGACGGCCAGTTTGAAGGTAGCGGAAGGCCGACTCAAATTCCCCGCGTGAGAACTGTGTCACCGGCTGAGGAGGACCCAGTTTCTTCGCAAAGAGCAACTCGTGTAGCTCATCCATTAGCTGCTTGATAACCGCTGGATGATTCTTGTACACGGTTTGAAGGTCGAGTGATGAGAAGGTGACGTTCTTAGAGAACTGATACATGGCAAGCTTCTGGAAAGAGTAAATGTCTCGCTTTCCAATCTCGACGAACCGTCCCAGAGGCGCGACACATCTCCAAGTCTCTGCGAGCGCCTCGCCCGAGCTTGAGTTGAGGACGACATCGACACCGCGACCATTGGTTGCGCGCAGGATCTGCTTGCCGAATGCCAACTTTCGGCTCGAGAAGAAACGATCGCCAGGGATTCCATAACGCTCTTGCAGAAGATTCTTTTTGACTGTTGAACTGACTGTCACAAACACATCGGCACCGATATTCTGTGCCAGCTGGATGGCAGCCTGACCCACAGCGCCCGCGGCTGCGTGTATGAGTACAGACTCGCCTTTACGAAGGCGGCCCAGGTGCGTGATGCCGTACAGCGCTGTCAGCCATACCGCTGGGAAGGCATCGGTGAATGCTATATGATCCGGAATAGGGATGGTGGTGTGGACTTTGTTCCGGACAAACGTCTTAAATGTCCCAGAGGCCATGCCGCAGACGCGATCCCCAGGTGCCAGATCTTTCACAGCTGAACCAACTCGCCGGACAACGCCCCCATATTCATGTCCTATGTAAGAGTCGGTGATCTGCCCAAGTACACACATCACATCGGCAAAGTTGACTCCCGTGGCCTTGACTGTCACTTCCACCTCGTCTTCTGCGAGGGGCTTACTTGGAGTCTCATCCCTGGCGTACCGGAAACTGCCAAGCTGCCCAGGAGAAAATTGTATTTTCAGAGCCTCAGTTGGCTCCCTGCAAAGCTGCCTTCGCTCTATGTCTTGGTTGCCAGTCTGGGAGTAGACATAATCATTGATATCATTGGCTTCTACCACGCGGGGGATGAGTGCCATGTCGTTGGTCTCGCAATAATCGCCCTCCCAGTTCTCAACCCCGGACGCGCCACATGAGCGCTGAAGGACACCGCAAATAGTCTTGCCAGCACAGGCTATGTCCTGGATATTCAAATTAGCCCAGTAAAGCCCAGGCTTCTCCAGCATTGCAGCTCGGCTAAAACCGGAACTCATTGCATTTTCAGGTAGTGCAGCGTTCACATCAGTACCGGATGTTATCCAGTAGATGTGACTTGAAAAGTCCACAAGTCTTTTGAAGCGAGCAAAGTCCCTCCCACTCATTGCCGCTAGGAACGGACGTTCCAGGTCAAGAAGTGAGAGGCAAACATTCGACTGTGATGTTTGCTCGGAGATAGCATCAGGCGTGATGATGTCACATTGCTTCCCCCACGTCGAGGAGAAGTAGGAAGCAATTTTTTCGGCAACCTTGAGTTGAAATTCGGTATCGACAGCAATAAAGAGCGAATCCGGAAGTTCAACCTGGCTCGGTTCCTCATGAGATGCTCGAGAGAGGAGGAAGCTGAGTGTATGGTTCTCGACATCTGGGAAGTCGGTGATTGCCATTTCCACCCCAGTGTATCCGGTCTGTTTCAGATAGTAATCCCATTCGTCCCGAGAATACAATGGGCACCACTTCCGGTCCTCTTCGGTTGATCTCCACCATCCTGGAAGTGTTCCCCAGATGCCATTTAGCACGGTGTCATGTTTGTTGGTTGGCTCCATGAGAATGATGTAGCCGCCTGGTTTCAATAAGGAGCGGGCATGACTTAGAGTATCACTGACACATTTGGTAGCATGCAGCACAGTGGCAGCAATTACGACATCGTATCCTCTCGGTGTGAAACCCTGCTCAGCTGGATCGCGCTCGATATCCAATGTCTGGAAAGTCATGCGATCAACATGGTCGGAGAATTTAACCTTAGCCTTTTCGAAGAACCCAGGAGAAATATCGGTGAAGGTGTAGGATTGGTATCGAGGGGTCACGCCTTTATCGCTACCCTGTTTGCCCAATGCCGACAGAATTTGCTGGGTACCGCTTCCAGTACCAGCACCGATCTCAAGGATATCAAGCTTGGAGTTCTTGTGCGCAAGGAGATCCATAAATACCGCCATCCGCTTGGCGGTAGTCACGAAAATCTCGTCCTTGTACAGGTCCTTCGCCAGGCCTTGATTGAAGAGGAGGTCTAACGGATCCACTTCTTCGCGGACAATTGCGGCAAGGTGCTTGCAGAACGAATTAACCGCACCCTCAACCGGGCCTGTCGCTGCGAACTCCTCCAAATATTCCTCGCGACGGCTGTCATTCGCTAAAACATCTTTCCATGGTGCTTGGAGAAGAGGATTTCTGTCACCCAAACGATCGAAATGATATCGCACCCAGGCCAAGTACCTCTGGAAGTATGGGGATGAGGTCTCGTATCCTTGAGCGTCCAGCTCCTTCAACATTTCCGACATGTAATGCAGAGTCACCACATTCTTAGACGGCTTCCATTCAACGGGTATTGTCTCCTTGTCCAAGCAGTAAGCCTCGGTCTGCGAGCTGCTAATGAGGTTAACATCAGGTTTCCAATCGAGCCTGTAAAAGATATTGCGTTTCTCTGATGGCTTATAGCTAAGGCTAGACACGGTTGTCACCCGATAGCCCTCTATCACAATGGCTGGTTCTCCGGTATCTGAATTGATGGCAAGAATGAACGAGTCGGTTTCTCGTGCTGCCTGTAGCGTGGTCTGCGCCAGAACATTCAGTTTTGTGGATGGTTTGCGCTCAATCAGATCCTGCGAGATCCAGAAATCTCGCAACTGAGTCGGTGCCTGCAACGGGCCAAGTTCCGTTCCACCTTTGGTGGTTGCCACAGCCGTGACTTGGAACACCCCGTCCAACGCTGTGGGGTGAATGATATGCGGCTGGACTTGAGAGTTCCTCTCAGGAACTTTACCTCTCCACTCATCAGGCTCAACGACGGCCACAGCTTGGTCCCCTTCCGGATCGTAGGCTAGGTCGTGAAGAGTATTGAACAGGGGACCAAAGCCATACCCAATCTTATGACCAGCATCATAGAAGACCTGCTGAGTACTCGTCGCTGAGCAACGGTCGACTGCTTGTTGGTACATTGTCTGGTAATGGTTCTTCGTCAGGCTTCGCTCGTCGCCTCCGTACACCTCATCTGGCGTCTCTTCGTATTCCGTGACGACAGAGCCAGCGCAGACCTCCCGCCATTCATTGTCCGAGTACACATATACGTTGAACTCTCTGCATTCCACTGTCTGGACACCAGTGGTCCGACTGTTCTCTGCATTACGTAGGAATATCTGGCTTTCTACGCCTTCAGGGGTCTCAGGGACAACTAAGGCAGAGAAGATCCTTACGTCTCGCAGGCGGTATCCTCTAACTGCATGACTAGGCTTAACT